TTTGATGTCTTAATTTCCTGTTTCACCAACTCTCTTGATCTTCTAAGTCTCTTGTCATGCCGGTCAATTTAAATTTATTAAGTTTATGATGCTTTTCTTTAGTTTTATCTATTAAACTCTTTGTGAGCTAACCTGGTTTTTTACTTACAGTTACCCTTTTCTTTCTATTAGGAATATGTTTACATCGAATCTTTAAAAATTTTCCCCATCTAATCAGTGTCTCCAATTAATTCAGCTGCCCAATTTACAACAGATAACTCTTGTTGCATCCCTTCAAAATTTGCTTTTTTTGATATTTGTAACCAAAATACCATTATTCCTCATCTCCATATGCAGCAAAACACCAAATAGAGCAATGATCACTTGCAACCAAATGTTCCCCATTTTCCACCCTCTCAATCATTTCTGTATTTGAAGTTGACAATATGTCTAAAATAGTATTGTTTGTACTTGGTTCCTTGACTAACTGGTGAAAAAAGCCATCCTGAACAGTTTCCAAAAACCTTTCTCCCTCATGGTTTGACTCTAGAATTTCCCAGTCTATTTGCCTGAAATTAAAATCACCCATAATTATGGCCTCATTAACAGCTGAAATCTTAATCTCATTGTAAAGTTTTTCACTAATTTCATTAGTACCATTTGGTGGTCTGTAAGAAATTCCCTCTAAAAGCCTTTCCCCTTTATATCCACTAATAGAAATCCAAATGGATTCAATCTCTTTGCTATTATCTTTGATTTCCACAACTTCAACAGGATGTAACTCACATTTTACATATAAAGCCACTCCTCCTCCCCTCTTTAATACTTTATACCTATTAAATAGCCAGAAAACAAGGTTTCACTTATTCCCATTATATCAAAATCCTCCATTCCTTCCAGTGCTCTATAGTCACCTATTTTATTTCTTGTACTTCTAGCATTCCAATATTAACAATTAAGCCTATCCGTATAACTACTTCTATACTCATTTCCTATACTAAACTTTTCTCTGCCTCTTATTCTTTGTGCATTCAGTTTTTCCTGGCCCTCACCACTGTCTAGTCCTAGTGTAAAACTTCTCTTACAGCTGAGTTAATAGTCTTAGCAAACAAGCCAGGCCCTAATCTATTTAAATGTAAACCATCCATTGCAAAAAGCTCATTCTCCCACTGAACCGATCCCACAAGTCCAACCAGTCAATCTGCTCATCCTTACATACTAACCTCATCCCCACAGTAAATTCTGGGCAGTAATCCTGACAAAATTAAGTTATATCCATTTTCTTTATGAGCATTTATCAACCTCTTAAACTTATTAATTTGCTCCTCTGACCTACATTTCCCTACATCATTAGCCCCTACATGCACTCTCACCATACTTAGATGATCATGTATAAAC